AGTATCCACATAATCTCCCATATGATTTTGAGTGTGCATGTGTCTTTTTATTTTAGGACCCAATATCTGGCCAAGAGTTGATACTCAAAGGAGAGTCTATCTGGAGTCCTTCTCAAGGAATTTAGATGTTTAATGAAGCGCTAGTTTAGTAGCAGTCCTGATACATATGGATAGATATCACTAAGCTCTGTAGTTTCATAGAGATGGAGTGCTGTTTCCCCAATCTGTCCCCAAAGGCAAGACACAGGTCACTGCAAGCTGCAGGACATCAACAGCCTGCTGTCATTAGGGTCCCATTTCAATGCAGCCAACTTATGAGTTATTTTGACTAGAGGAGCCAAAATATAAAGGAAGAAATGACTATATTTTGTCTCTAAAGTTTAAACAACTACCAGATGTTGTTTCTCTCTCTCTGTCTCTCTCTCTCTCCCTCCCTCTCTCTCTCACTCGCTCGCTCTCGCTCTCACTCTCACTCTCAATGCATTTAATACAGTATGTACAGGGTCTACAATGTCTGACCATGTAGATGGTACTCATAGTGATCCTCCTGTTGTCAGCCTCCCAAGCTCTGGGATTACAGGTGAGCACCACCATGCCCAGTCTCTATCTCCATTTCAGTGTGCCCTGGGAGCAGGACCAGCATGGCAGTCAAGGGTCAAAACCCTGGCCCCTGTGTCTGCCTAAGCAGGCCCTGTAATCCACTGAGCTATTGCATCTCTTGAACAGATGCTTGAAATTTATCTGAATTGATAGATGAGCCTGAATGTGTCATAATTTCCATGCCTTTACATAGACCTCGAACACTTGTTTCTTTTTCAGATGAGCACTCACTATGTCATCAAGATAGTGAGTGACAAATACTTCTAAGGGTATTTGTACATGTTTCACAATTAGCTCTTTAAACTGATGGAAAATTGCAAGAGAATTGAGGTTTTCCTTCAAGGACTTTGGTGCAAATATTACACAAGCTCTTCCATGTGACTGTAAATACATCTGGACCTTACCCACAAAGAAATCAAGAAGGAAATTTAGCCAGATTAATAACAGCATAGCACTGTCTTCTATAGTTCTCACTTCCTTATTGACAGCAATGTGTCAGGTGTTATAGGAAGCCAAAGGTAGCCCCTTGACTTCTATTATCAGACTCCTGCTTTGTTTCATTCTTTGGCCTTGTGTTTTTAATGGAGCCAGATGTTGCTATTAAACTGTACTAGAGGGATGTATGAATTTCTGCCTGCAGTAAGTCTTAAATTAACAAAGTAGTATCTTTTTTTCTTACATGGCAAACAGTATAATTTCATTACAATAAACCCATAGCAGACTGGCAGTCATGGTGACAGAAAGGAAATATGAATTTTCCATGGTTATGACTAGACTCCTTTTTTTTGAGGAGCTCATCCCCTGAGGCAGCAATGAAGCTCCACCTCCCAGGCATGCAAAACATGAATGAATTCAATGCACTGAACAATGAAACCTGTAACACAAGCACTGGAAATGACCCAGACACACCCATAGTCATGGACAAACCTGTGAACTTTGGTCCTCATATTATTCTTGAAATTCACCAAAGTCACTGTGTACCCGCAGGTTCCACTGGGAGCCTGAGATTATTTTCACTTGGGAATCGATATGTAAGAACCCCGTAAATATATGAATTCCTTCCTCTTTTTCTTCTGTCACAGGAACATAGGGATGTGATTCTGGAAGACAGAGCTAAATATTCTTCCTGCTGCCTTTGAGTCTTGCTTGAGGCTTATTCTTTGCTATGTCTGTATTTCTCCACTTTGGAAAGGGTTTAACTGATGCCATTGTACCTATAAAAATGTAAACTGTTTTTCTTTTATTTTTGCAAGGGTTGTTAGCAAAGAATTTATCTTGAGTCTCAGAAAAGACTTTGACTTGTTCCTTGCAGCAATACGTAGACTGTTGAGACTCTGGGGAAGAGATAACTGTGTTTTACTTGTATACAGGACAGTTATATATCAGAGTAGGCAGAATTATGACCCTATGTTTCTGTGAAGAGTAAACACAGTTCAAGGACATGTATTTGAGTACCAAGTTTGTAAGCGGTAGAATGTGGCAGTTATGCTTAACTTTCAACTCGATAAGTTTTGAAAATAATCTATGATAAAGTATACCTCTATTTCTATTTAGGGGTCTTGTAGGCATGACTTTGGGTGAATTTGTTGTCTCAGGCTTCTTCTTTTCTAGAACTGCTTTTCTGCTCTGTTTTCTGGTAATCAAGAACTAAGCAGCTTTGCTCCACCATTGTCATATATATATATATGAAGGGTCTACAGAGTGATCAGAGTCTCACTACTAGATTGGACTAATAGTGATCCACCAGTTTACATACTCCCAAGTGCTGGGATTATAGGCATGCACCACCACGCCCAGTCTCAATTGCTGTCTCAGGCTCCCCAGGGGTGGGGCTAGCACGATAGGCCTGGGGATGGAACCCTGCACCTGCTTGCAGGTGCTCTAATCCACTGAGATATTTGGCAGGTCCTTCTATCATGAGATTTTGTATTTGAAGTGAGTCACCTGTGGATTGACTGCCTTGAAACTGAACTGAGTTAAAATATTTCCTTCTTTATGTCAAAAATATTGGATATTTGTCCCAGCAACAGAAAATATGACTAATACACTGATCAGTGATGTAGAGTGTGCATAAGGAGAGTCACATGGAGAGAAAACATTCTCTCAGGCTTTCACAGAGAGCACATTGGCCAAGCAAGGCCGTGACTCATCCACATGGCTGATACTGACAAAGGATCTACAATCTGAGGTACAGGATCTCAGGATAAATCCTGATAGAATTTGACTGACCTTATCAGATCCAAAAGCTACAACATTTGTTGTATAGGTCTTGCTTTACCTTGGTCTTAACCATCCAGCAGAAAAATATAAAAACAAAGTATAAGAAGTAAAGCCATGATGTTATGTTGAGCTGTAGGGGACTCTTGACAACAATTTCTGACACTGCCAGTCAAGTGGAAGACCCAGTACTATTATGGACTACTGGACTCTTTTAGAATATTTTGCTGAGTTAACACACCTATAATATTCAAATAACAGAACAAAAAAGGGGACACAGATGAATGTCCATTTGTATCTGTGTATTCAAAATGGTTAGGATAGATATATAGTTACATTCTCTTAATGAATAGAGGGATTTGTTCTAATAGTGTTTATAAATAGGATAGCATGTCTGCATCTTGTACAGCAAATAACCACTAGGAAGAGAGTATGCAATGTGTTAATTATTGGAACTGTCCTACCAATTTGATATGAAACTGTCTCACTGCTATTTGTTTCTCAATAAAATTATGGAAAAAAATTTAAAAAAAGAAAAGAGAAAGATATTCCAACAGAAGAAAATAAGAATAATATAGCTAAGCAGGATGTCCCATCTTTTGGTAAAGTTCTTACCTTGACACCAATTCTTATGTAGCTTGTTAGCAGTAGGAACTCTTCATAATGGACTGTTTTTACAAACAAGGGCATTTGGCAACCCTATGCAAGTAGTGAGAAAATCTGTACATGAAAACTCTTATTTTGGAATGAGAGTGATTTCATAGTTAAATCATGCATGCAAAAATTAATATTCTCTTGGGCTGGGGAAATAGCAAAGTGGTCTAAGCACTGCGCTGGAAAGCCAAGAACTCAAGTTCCATGCTGGCTGTGCCCGCCTTACAACCCAGGCGCACTGTACCAGCCACCAAAACTGGGCATAATCCTAGCCCTGAGTAGGCTGAGACAGGAGCATCACTAGGAGTCTTAGCTGTGTATGAGACCCTGTACCAAATAAATAAATACTTCTTAAAAATATTAAAAACTGTAGGGTCTCACTACACAGGAGGACTCATAGTGATCATCCTGTTTTCAGTCTCCCAAGTGCTAGGATTATAGGTGAGTGCAACACGCCCAGTCTCAACAGGTCCCAGGGGCAGGCCCAGCAGCCTGTGCTGAGGATTGAATTTCAGTCCCTGGGTCTGAATAAGTAGGCAATTTAATACACTGAGTGATCTGGATGGCTCTAATAAAATATTATTTTACAAAATTAAAAAAATTCTATAGCATATTGGAATTTCATTTACACATATGTATATTCTATTTTTGTAAATAGATTTATAATCATATAAATGTATCATGAACAAAGCATGACATATACATAAACTGATATGTATATTTCATAGTTTCATGAAATCTGGAAGATTGTTAGAAAACTATTTATATGTAAGATTTCTTTGTAAATTTTATGAGTTTAGAGTAAGCTTATTTTCAATCATAATACAAGTATTATTTGCACATACTTACATGTTTTGATAAAAATTAGTAGCAATGAATGACTAGATCTTTCCATAGACATATTGTCACATAGATCACATGTGAGTGTAAGGCTATATTTAATGATTTAAGGTTGCTCAAAACTTTCATGGAAGGGCTGGGGAGATAGTTCAGCAACTTAAGTGCCTGCCTGGCAAGCACAAGGTCCTGAGTTCAATCTCCATTATAAATACATACATACATACATACATACATACATACATACATCTTTCATGGGAAGGTTTATAAAGAATTAATTGCAAACCACAAGAGAAAGTTAGCACCGCCAAGTTTTATGCAATTATGTTACACTCTCATAAGCACCTTCAGGATCTATTTCTTATATTTTTTTCTTTATCTTCAATAAAATGTGTTTTTAATGAGATATGAGCATTTAATTAATACCTATAGTCTATTTTACCTGTATATATAGAGTATGACATTCGAGCAATTTTTTGAGGAGGGGGTGGCAGCACATAAAGGGGCTGCCACAGGCTGATGTGGTGAATGTGTGGCAGGCCTGGAAGCTGTGTGGGCCAGAAGCCATGTGGGCCTGGTCCTCAGCCTGACCCGTGCTATCGAACTGCTCATCTGGTCCACAACTGCCAAGACAGTCTCAGGCCTCCTAGTCCCTTCCCTGTCCCTCCCCAGCTCCTGTCCTCACACCAGTGGCCACTGCCACCTGCCTCCCACCATGGCTCTGAAGAGAATCCACAAGGAGTTGAATGACCTGGCATGGGACCCACCAGCACAGTGTTCAGCAGGTCCTGTTGGAGATGATATGTTCCATTGGCAAGCTACAATAATGGGGCCAAATGATAGTCCCTATGAGAGTGGAGAATTTTTCCTGACAATTCATTTTCCAACATATTACCCCTTCAAACCATGTAAGGTTGCATTTACAAAAATTTATCATCCAAATAGTAATAGTAATGGCAGCATTTGTCTTGATATTCTATGCTCATGGTGGTCTCCAGCACAAACTATTTCAAAAGTACTTTTGTCCATCTGTTCTCTGTTGTGGGATCCCAATTCAGATGATCCTTTACTGCTTGAGATTGCTCAGATTTACAAAACAGATAGAGAAAAGAACAACAGAATAGCTTGGGAATGGACTCAGAAGTTGTGATGTAACTCCATAAATTATTGGAAAACCTCTACACATAAAGATAGGGGAATTCTGAAAGAGAAACTCCTTTTGAGGTCCATTTGATTGTTTTCTAGAAGCCCAGCCTCATGCTCCCCCATGCACATGTTTACCTGATACAGCAGTGCTATGTGTTGTACATACTTGGAAACAACAAACTAGAAATACTGTACTTCTGTACCCTCATTGCCTCCTAATAGAGGAATATGTGTGTGACAAGTTGATTCTTCAGGCAGAACCTACGTATGAAAAGCTAAAAAGCTTTTCTTTTTTTGTTCAATTTTGTCAGAGAAGGGTATTCCATTGTCATTTAAATATTTTAGGTGTGTGAATTCAGCAAAATACTCCAATATAGTCCAGTAGTCCATAATAGTAGTGGGTTTTCTGTAGGACTGGCAATGTCAGAAGTTGTTGACTTGAGCCTTTTACAGCTCAGAATATTAATATGGCTTTACTTTTTATACTTTGCTTTTATACTTTTCTGCTGGATGGTTAAGACCAAGGTAAAGCAAGACCAGGGATGGGGAGACAGCACAAGGGCTGGGGAGACAGCACAGCAGACTAAGCGCCTGCGGAGCAACTGCAAGGTCCTGAGTTCAATCCCCAGTACCAAAAAATCCAAAAACAAAAACCTCTAAGACAAGGTAAAGCAAGACCTATATAACAAGAAATGTGACTTTTGTATCTGACAAGGTTTTATTTGTATATTCAAAATAGGATAAATATACAGCTACTTTCTCTTAATTCAATGAGAAAAAAGATTTGTACTAATAGTCCTTGTGGACAGGACATCATGTCTGTATCATGTACTATGAATGACCACTAAGAAGACAACAATAAGCAATGTATTAATTATTGAAACTGTCCTACTAATTGGTTTTGAAACTGGCTCATTGCAATTTGTTTCTCAATAAAATCATTAGAAAAATAAAATAAAAAGCTTTCTTTATTGACTTAAATTTGGGTGACAGCAAGGTGTGATGGGTGGTGGGTACACGTGTGTGCTTGAATGGGGAGAAGCACCACTGACCTGGAGCAGGTGTTTTAAGTGGAATCCACTTATACTCAAAACAGTTACAAAAAGCAAGCTGAAAAATGTGAAGCTGTTTCTGTATTCACTTTATTCTGAAGGACCTTCAACTTAGGTGAAAGTTATGACCAGCCAGATTAAATTCTACCCACATCCTGTATTTTACGGTCTAAGTTTAACTGGTCAACATTTAAATGGGTTGGAGCTATTAGTACCTGAAGTATGATGGGCTTTGTCCCCAACTCTTACAACTCTCTGCACCTTTGTCCTTTGAGCTCCTTTCTCTCCATATTCTTTGGTTTGTATGTAGTTTCTCAGTTAATACATCACTAGTAGCTCTTATTTTTCTCGTGTTTTTAATTGCTTAGGTCTATTTAGATATAAGGGTGAGAATTCATTTGATGGAAATACTTGTGTATCTTTAAAGACCCAATTGCTCCTCTGGAGCTTGTATGTTCAAGAATGATTAATCTGTGTAATAAACTGATTACTACAGTCATTACATTTAATTTAATAGGCTTTTGATTTTAAGATCTTTGTCTAGCTGAGTGGTGGATCTTCCCCCCACTCCTAAAATGTTTTCATTTATACTGGTTGCATTTCACAATCGTGAAACAATTCCAGTTTACATAGTAAAAGAAAAAACCTTGACAATAGTTTTATTGAACTAAGAGACAAACTTGAAAGCATTTTCATAAAACCCGTATGTGCAGCATTTTGGGAACATGACTGTTAATCTAAGAAATTTGCTTTGTTAATGAAGCTAAGCTGCATTTCATCAAAATCTTGGGGTATTCCCTTGGTGCATAAGACGTAAAAACACGAAGGCATTGCTATTTGGTGTGGTAAGCCTCTATGATTGTAATTATAGAAGAACAACTTTGAGCAGCCCTGGGAAACATGAGCACAATCTTGTGTTGGAGAGTCTGCCAAATAACTTTGCACTAACATTTAGAAGGATGTTCATCCAGTTTTAAATTGTATTGTCTGTGGCTTTAAGTCTTCCCTTGACTCTAGTAAAATGTAGTTTGAAACTTGTAAATAACTGTGCTTACCAGAAACATCATTCATGTGAATGAGGCAAGTTACCTTTTTCCTATTCCTAATCTAACTGTAAACCAGGCCAGCCTGAAGACCACGGCTTAATGCTCTTTAGCCATCAGGTTCTTTAAGATACATATTTACATGCTTGCACAAAAACTGAGGAATAAATGTCCATTGCTTTTGGATTAAATAAAAAAACTATAATTATTTTTTTACTTTTTAATTATTTTTTGTTTTGCAGCTGGTGGTAGGGCTGGCGCCATGTGGTGCTGGGGATCGAACTGCTGTCCCTGCTCTTGACTAAGATTGCCTAAGCAGCTGCTTTAGACCACTGAGCTCTCTCACTCACCCATAAACAAAAAATTTTATTAGAAAATTTGATTTATGTTGAACAAATCCTGACCCTTTTATTCAGAAAACTTCTACAAAATATTCAGTTTCAGAGTACGTTTAGCATTTGCTTTAAATAAAACATAAACAGATGTATGATAATGACATTTTCTATCATTGATTAGGAGGGCAAATTCCAGGTTAACAATTCTATGCTAACTGTAATTGTGCTTTTGTTACTTATATTTTTACATATGTACTATGGTACTCCAGAAGTTTGATAATTCAGCTCAAATATGTCTAAGTATACTTAAGGTAACAGAGAACTTACACATGATCAAAAATTATCTTGATACTACGATCTATGTTCCTGATCACGTATAGTTCTATTTTATAATATTTTTTGAACTCTAGTAATTGGTAGGTGATATGTCACATGCCAATAATTTGTGTATCCTTCTAGATGACATTTAAGGCATTTGGGGTATATTTGCCTTTATGTGTGTTCTTTAATGAAATAGCATGTTTAATATATGTGAATTTTTCTTTAGTTTTTAAATAATGTTTTGAAGTCTTTTTATGTTCATATATTTATTTTCATAATACATACTTATATTACTTATGTTTCAGAAAATATAAGTAATATAACATTTTTAACATTTTAATAATTCTGCAGTGTATGAATGTAACATAGTCTATTTATTCAATGCTGTCCTTGGTAATTCTTTTAAAAATATTTAGTCATAATATTGGTAAAGATGCATATCATCACCTTGAAGTTGTCTTTTATATACTTTATTATCGTCTTTTTGCTTGTGAATTGATTTGTTGTTTCCTTGATTCTCTTTTTGATGGACATTTGTCATCATTTGATAAGCCTGAATACAAAGCATTTTCTTGATTAATATTTTCTTCCAAAATTCCACTTGATCCCAAAAGCTACAACTCTTGTTGCATAGGTCCTACTTTACCTTGGTCTTAACCATCCAGAAGAAATGTTTAAAAACAAAATATAAGAAATAAAGCCATGCTGTTATGTTGAGCTGTGGGGGACTCAGGTCCACAATTTCTGACACTGCTAGTTAATCAGAAGACCCAATAGTATTATGGGATATTGGACTCTTTTAGAATATTTTGCTGAGTTTACACACCTATAATTTTCAAATAATGGAAATTAACAAAAAAAAAGGGTATACAGATGAATGTCCACTTTGTATCTGTATATTCAAAGTGGTTGGGATAAATACATAGTTACATTCTGTTAATGAATAGAATGATTTGTTCTAATGGTGTTTGTAAATAGGATGTCAAGTCCACATCTTGTATAGCAATTAACCACTAAGAAGAATGTATGCAGTGTGTTAATTATTGAAACTGTCCTACCGATTTGATTTGAAACTGTCTCATTGCTATTTGTTTATTAATAAAACTATGGCAAAAAATACTTGATGGAAAATACCTGTTCCATGTTATGCCTAAGATGTTTTATATTCAGATGGTGAGGTTAAGCTCAACTGCCTCTGGATGGTTAACAACCTAAGTTCACAGACCAAAAATTAGAGAAAAGGAAGGGCTGCAAGAAAAGCCAACATTTTGACCCTATCCTTTCAAGGTCAGTGGAGACTCAGAACATTGAAGAACTTGTACTGTAACATCCTGTAACTCAGTTTTGTTTCAAATTTTCTGATCAAGGAGATTGTGGGGCCACAGAGGAAAGTGACCTATTATGTAGAGTGTGCCTAAGGAGAGCCACATGAAGAGAAGACATTCTTTCAGGCTTTCACAGAAAGCAAACTGGTCAAGCAATGGCCATAACTCATCCACATGGCAGATCCTGAAAAAGGATCTACAAACTGTGATACAGGATTTCAGGATCAATCCTGAGGGAATTTGACTGACCTTATCAGACACAAAAGTTGCATTTCTTGTTATATAGGTTCTGCTTTATCTTGTTCTTAACCACCCAGCAGAAAAGTATATAAATGAAGTATAAAAAGTAAAGCCATATTAATATGCTGAGCTGTAAAAGGCTCAAGTCAACAACTTCTTTTTTTTTCTGTTTTTTTTTTTTTTTTTTTTCAGAACTGGGGATTGAACTCAGGCCCTTGTGCTTGCCAGGCAAGCATTTATTCCACTGAACCATCTCCCTGGCCAAGTTAACAACTTCTATCATTGCCAGTCTTACAGAAAACCCACTGCTATTATGGACTACTGGACTATATTGGATTAATTTGCTGAATTCATGCACTTACAATATAAGAATGGCAATGGAATACCCATCTCTGACAAAAGTAAACAAAAAAGGGGATATCAATGAAGGTCCATTTTGTAGTGAAAAAAATCTATCTGTATATTCAAAATAGTTTCTACTTTCTCTTAGTTCTTTCTCTTTCTCTTAGTTCAATGAGCACAAAGTTTTGAACTATTAGTGTTTAGACAAGATATCATGTCTTCATCTTATACTATGAATAACTACTACAAAGACAACAATGTGCAATGTATTAATTATTGTAACTATCCTACTAACCTATTTTGAAACTGTCTCATTATTACTTCTGTCTCAATAAAAATTAATGTA